TAGGGAATCCCACGGGCACTCAGGGTCTCCTTTATTGTTAAAACCGTCAGGCGCCCAGGCACACCTGCTCCCGAGTAACCCGGGGAGGAAAAAGGGTTGTGCTGCAGGGTTGCTGTGGGTCTGATACTTCTCTGTCAGCAGCCACAAGACTGGCAGGGCCCTTTTCCCCAACATCAGGTGTCTCTCTTGGAGGGATGATACTCCCCCACATCTGGCCTGCGAGGCCTTTTGGCTGCTGGAGTCTCCCTGCACTGAGCCTTCTGCCCAGCTGCTCACTCTGGTCTCCCTCACTCTGCCCAGCTGCTCAGCACACCCAGATCTGGACTGCAACACCTCCAGCTCCAATCACATCTCTAATCTGAGCACGGCTGCTGTTTCTTCTCTGCCCCCAGCACCCTCGGCTGCTTCTCTGGCTCTGGCCCGTCTGGCTATGGCCAGTCTGGTTCTGCTCCCATCCCAGCCCGGGCCCTGCTTTCCCCTTAACTCTGTCCTTCGGTGGCCGAGGCAGCCCTAGTTCACACAGATAATGAAACTTGCCCTAATTTCCTGACATCCTCATTAGCCAGTCTGCTCTGTCAATCAACCTGACTTGATGCACTGGCCTCTCTCTGTTGTTCCCGATGCCTGTCAGTCTCCAGGTCCTGGTTTCTCATCCACCTTTCACCTTCCTCTTGGTGCTGGGAAAGGACCGATCAAAACCGCTCACTAACTTTTAGCAGAGCCAACACTTCCCTTCTCTGGACCATGCTACAATTCTGAAACAGACACAATTTACCAGCATCATGTTGTATTAAAAAACAAACCCAAAATATTGAGACTGAACCAAAGAACTTAGAGGCTGCGTCTAGACGGGCAAGTTTTTCTGCAAAAGCAGCTGTCTACTTGCCAGCTGTCTACACTGGCCGCTTGAATTTCCACAAGAACACTGACTTCCTACTGTCTGAAATCAGTGCTTCTTGCGGAAATGCTATGCTGCTCCCGTTCGGGCAAAAACCCTTTTCCGGAAATGCTTTTGCGCAAGAGGGCCGGTATAGATAGCTGAAAACTGTTTTGTGCAAAAAAGCCCCGATCGCAAAAATGGCAATTGGGGCTTTCTTGCGCAAAACCACGTCTAGATTGGCACGGTCGCATTTCCGCAAAAAGGGCTTTTGCGGAAAAGTGTCAGTGCCAATCTAGACGCTTTTTTCCGCAAATGCTTTTAACGGAAAACTTTTCCGTTAAAAGCATTTGTGGAAAATCATGCCAGTCTAGACGTAGCCAGAGTGTATTTAGCACCCAATAGCCACGTCTTTGTAAAACCAAAGTTTGGGATCTTTGTGAGCAACTACATTGTGTGGATTTGACTCCCACATGTTTGCAGATGGTACCAAACTGGGTGGGGTTGCAACTTCTTTGGAGGATAGGGACATAATTCAAAATGACCTTAGCAAGTTAGAGAAATGGTCAGAGGTAAACAGGATGAGGTTTAATAAAGAGAAATGCAAAGTGCTCCACTTAGGAAGGAACAATCAGTTCCATACATACAAGATGGGAAGTGACTGTCTAGGAAGGAGCATGGCGGAAAGGGATCTAGGGGTCATAGTGGACCACAAGTTGAATATGAGTCAACAGTGTGATGCTGTTGCAAAAAAAGCAAAAAATAGGTTGTATCAGCCGGTGTGTTGTAAGCAAAACTCGTGAAGTCATTCTGCCGCTCTACTCTGCACTAGTTAGGCCTCAGCTGGAGTACTGTGTCCAGTTCTGGGCGCCACATTTCAAGAAAGATGTGGAAAAATTGGAAAGGGTACAGAGAAGAGCGACAAGAATGATTAAAGGTTTTGAGGACATGACCTATGAAGCCAGGCTTCATGAACTGGGCTTGTTTAGTTTGGAAAAAAGAAGATTAAGGGGGGACATGATAGCGGTTTTCAAATATCTAAAAGGGAGTCACAAGGAGGAAGGAGAAAATTTGTTCCTCTTGGTTTCTGAGGACAGGACAAGGAGTAATGGGCTTAAAGTGCAGCAGGGGAGGTTTAGATTGGACATTAGGAAAAAATTCCTAACTGTCAGGGTGGTCAAATATTGGAATAAATTGCCAAGGGAGGTGGTGGAATCTCCCTCTCTGGAGATATTTAAGAACAGGCTGGATAGACATCTGTCAGGGATGGTGTAGACGGAGCTTGGTCCTGCCTTGAGGGCGGGGGGCTGGACTCAATGACCTCTCGAGGTCCCTTCCAGTCCTATGATTCTATGATTCTATGATTCTATGTCCTGTTAACCTCTGGCATGTAGGGTTCCAAATGCTGCCGTGGTTACCAGGCCTGATGGGAGCCACACTGGACTTGTGATCTTGTGACTTATGGACACAAATATGCAGAACTCTAAGCTGCTCGGGATAAATTGCCGCACGTAACCTATCAGTCTTCATGTCATTATCCACTAAGTCTGCATATCTTATTTTGGTGTATGGCTCATACTTGTGTGTAAAGTTAGATCTATGGAGTATGGAATGGTTCATGGTTTGAAAAGTGCAAGTGCAAGCCATCAAAGGTGTTTATAGATGATCACCCAGACATCAAGAGAAATAGCCTCTTTTGTCCTTTGAGTCCAAGCAGTGGTTGGTCTTAGGAAGTCACATGGCCACTGTGGGAGGGCCCTGTTCCCTCCCCAGAGCTCCCTTCCCCTTTCCCTTGTTTTAGACCATTACACCCACACTCGGGTTGTGTCCAACGTGTTTATTGTTCACAATCCCAGTCCCACTTGGACTTCACTGAGGCCCTCACGCCTCTCGGAGCACTCTTCACCTTCCCAATGTGGAGCGGGAAGTAAGGGGACCTGGGCCTGCCCTCACCTCCGGGTCTCAGCCCAGGGCCCTAGGGAGGGGGAGATGTCTTTCTCTCTGCCTCCTGTGCTCAGTGGGGATGCCTCCCAAAATGCACTGACCCACAGGCTTAAAAACCCTACCCTGGGCTTCTTCTTACTCACCCCGTCGTACTCTGGGACTAACACGTTACAACTCGAACGTGTCCTGCTCCGGACCCTTCCCACCGGAAACGTTCAGCTCACTGGAACCTGGACCCTCTCCAGGCATCGTCCTCCCCCCACCTGGGGATTGGCCCATTTAAATCCCACACCCTTGGTGTCGCCCCACCCCTAGGCGTGTCCCTGCCGGTGCCTCTGCCCCTGCCCCGTGCTGCAATAGGTGGGTTTCCCCCTGAGGGTACCTGTGAGTGCTCGTACGCCAGCATCAGCATCTGGCCAAGGCACCATTTCCCTGCCAGCTTCTACCTCCGGTGGCGTGTCCTTGGCTGCCTCTTCCCAGTGTGCGGCCCTGATTCGGCATCCCCAGGTGCTCCCCACCATGGGGGGCCAGCGGTTTGGGGGAGAGGAGCCCACCTGCTCTGTCACAGCCACCTCAACAGGTAGCGGTGAAGTAAGTCATTGTCCATGGAAGAGTGGAATGGAGAAAGAGACTTCCCACCTAAAGTGGAAACCAGTGGTGGATTTAGGGCAGGGCGAGCGGGGCGGCTGCCCCAGGCCCAGTGCTTCCTGAGGCCCCACGCATGTGCTGTGTCAAAGGAGGGACCCCGCAAAATTTCGCTGCCTGGGGCCCCGCGGCACTGCTATAGATTCCACCAGGGGCACTCTCATCCGCCCCTGGTGGAATCTATAACACAATGGGAAGCTAGCAGTTTCTTTGTCTTTGGCTTGGGTGGCACACCCAAGATAACTGCAGACCCCAAAGAAAAGGGGACTTCCCTGGCTTGGAGGTTTAGGTGGAATAAGAACAGTTTTAGGCTGAGTTCATAATACGTTTGTACTGAGCTTTTAATGTTAGAGTTAGCTAAGTGTTTTCTATTACTTTAAATTACAAATCTACTTTATTCTGCCTCTTCTCACTTATTGTCACTTAAATCCTACTGCTTGTACTTAAGAAAATCACTGTTAATTGCTTTCAAGCCCAGTGCAAATAATTGTGACCTGGGGGAGCAATCAGTATGCACCTCCTCCTTTCCTTTTTGAAAGGGGTTTACCTAAATAAATCATTTGGGTTTAGATACCATTTGGGGAGTGGCATCCGAGGAAATTGGACCCAAACCTGCATTTTCCTCAGACCTGAAAAGGTTCAGTGTCTTGGCTGGAAGGACTCTGACACAAAGAATATTCATCTTTATTTGGCACTGGGGAGGCCACATCTGGGGTATTGTGTCTATTTCTGAGCCCCATTAAAGAAAGGATGTGGACACATTGGAGAAATTCCAGCCAAGGGCAACAAAAATACCGAGGGGGCTCGAACACATGACATATGAGGAGACGCAAAGGGATTTAGGCTTATTTAGTCAGTGGAAGAGAAGAGTGAGGGGAGCTTTGGGAGCAGCCTTCAACTTCCAGAGGGAGGTTCCAAAGAGGATGGAGAGAGACTGTTCTCAGTAGTGAGGGATGGCAGAACAAGGAGCAACGGTCTCAAGTTACAGGTGGCAGGTCTAGATTGGATATTAGGAAAAGCTCTTGCCCTATGAGGGTGTGGAAGCACAGAGATGGGTTCCCTAGGGAGGTGTGGAATCTCCATCCCTAGAGGTTTTTAAGTCCCATCTTGACAAAGCCCTGGCTGGGATAATAGAGTTGGGGTTGGTCCTGCTTTGAGCAAGGGGTTGGACTCGGTGACTCCCAAGGTCTCCTCCACCTATCTCTTAACACATTCCTCATTCTCACACCCACAAAACAGAATTGATTTCTTTGTGACATGGACTCCATATGAATATTTAAGCAGGAACATCAAAGTCCAGTTTCAATCACACCCAGTCATCATACCCAATTACTTAGTTCACAATACTAACATTAAAACCAGAACAAACTTATACAAATTTATTCCTGACCTGGAGTAAGACACAATATTCTGTCTGGTGCACCTTTACCACTGGCCCTCACTGCTTTCAGAAAGGGTGGCTGGCAGAGTACACTGAGGAACAATACTTTGCACTTTAGCTCTGAACGCCAGAGCCCTAGGAGAAAACTTTGCACTATTTACGAGTAACAAACCAGCGCAGCCTGCTCCAGATCTGTTTGGTCTTTACCCCATAGATGATGGGGTTGAGCATGGGGGGCAGCAGGAGGTACATAATGGCAATAAGAACTTGGACATGCTGGGGAAAATTTTGTCCGAAACGATAAATGAGGGAGGAGAAGGCACTTGGGATGTAAAAGATTACAATGGCGCAGAGATGTGAGGCACAAGTCAAAAAAGTCTTGAGCCGAGCGTCCTTTGTGGGGAGGCTGAAGATGGCTCTGAGGATCTGCATGTAGGAGATGGCAATAGAAATCACATCCAGACCCAACACAAAGAACATCACAAAGAGCCCATAGTAACTATTGATGCGGGTGTCGGCGCAGGCCAACTTCACCACGGCGATGTGCACACAGTACGGCTCAGAGATGATGTTGGTTCTACAATATGGCCATCTCCTCGTCAGTAAGGGATAGGGCAGTGTGACTATGCTGCTGCGTAGCAACAGGGCCAGGCCAATTTTAGCTACCGAAGGGTTTGTCAGGATGGTGGAATGTCTCAAAGGATGGCAAATGGCCACATAGCGATCCAAAGCCATGGCTGCCAATATCCCAGACTCAATTGCTGAGAAGCAGTGAATGAAGTACATCTGGGTGAGGCAGGCATCGAAGTCTATCTCCCTGGAATTGAACCAGAAGTTGCTCAGCATTTTGGGCAGGACAGATGTGGCCAAGACCAGGTCGGTGATGGCCAGCATGCAGAGAAAATAGTACATGGGCTCGTGGAGCCGAGACTCTGTCTTCACAATGAAGAGGATGGTGAAGTTCCCCAAGAGGGCTATGACGTACATGGCGCAGAAGGGGATGGAGATCCAGACATGGGCCTCCTCCAGGCCAGGGATGCCCACGTTGAAATACGACATGGAGCAGGCGAGAAGGCATCCAACTCAGAAGCAGAACAGTGTCTCCTGCATGTACCGTATGTCCCCCTGACTTCCTTTATATGCCCAGGCTCTAGGGTGATGTTCACAGTACCTATACCTGGATGGAGAGACAATGACAATGGAGATTACTGCAGGATAATTTCATGGCTGCTGCAGATTGTTCAGTCTTCACACACAGAGCAAAGATATTTTCTTTGTGCAGAGGAGTGACTCATGAGCCACTGACCTCACTAATGTCAATTCTAGAAGTTATGTCCGAAGAATTCCTAAATGTCATAGTCAGGGAAAGCTTAATAGGCATTAGAGGGGAACAGGAGTGTGGATATGTGTTATCCATCATTGTTTCTTATTGATAGGACACCATATAGCTAGTCAGTGCTGTAAAGAGTTCCTATTAACCTGGGAGATAAATATGTGGGAATGGACAATAAAAATATTTGATGAGACATGCGTTGGGGAAACCTCCCTACCAGAATACACCTGAGGGAAAAGATCTGGTAGTCACTAGTAGCACCACTGTGCCTTCATCAAGAACTTTGTAATTGATGTCGGTATGTATATTCAATTCCTTTATCAATTTTAACTTTCTTTCTTTCTTTCTTTCTTTCTTTCTTTCTTTCTTTCTTTCTTTCTTTCTTTCTTTCTTTCTTTCACAGCATGCTTTTTGGGTAAGATTCCTAGTTATAAATTGGCCTGGGAAAGTGGCTGGTCCTTTGGAATCAGAAGTACCTTTTTATTAGGGACTTGTCTACACTTCCAGGATTAAGATATGCAATTTAATAGTTCCACAATTTCACATTTGAGTTCTTTCAGAGCTCTTCGGTGAATGCCATCGGGTCCCGGTGACTTGTTACTGTTAAGTGTATCAGTTAATTCCAAAACTTCCTCTAATGACACTTCAATGTGAGACAAGTCCTCAGATTTGTCACCAACAAAGGACGGGTCAGGTTCAGGAATCTCCCTAACATCCTCAGCCGTGAAGACTGAAGCAAAGAATTCGTTTAGTTTCTCCGCAATGACTTTATTGTCTTTAAGTGCTCCATTTGTATCTCTATCGTCCAGGGGCCCCACTGGTTGCTTATCAGGCTTCCTGTTCCTGAACATATTGTTATTACCTTTGGAGTTTGCATAGCTGCAGTCAAAATAGTTTAATTCGGCTTTGGCACTGTCTACACTATAGGAAGTTGAAGGAAGAACACTCATCCTTTGACTTCCCTTACTCCTCATGAAGTAAGGGTTAGGGAAGTCAAAGCAAGAAGTTTACTATATTGAAATTCTTTTGAAATAATGGCTTGCTGTATAGACGTGCATTCTGTTATTTCGAAATAACGTCAGACCAGGGCAGTAGTTCATAGTCAGCTGGAAGGACAGAACAGGAAGGGTTCTGCAGGGATCATTCTGGGACTGGTTCTGTTTGATACCTTCATCAGTGATTTATATCACGACATTGATAAAGTTTGTGAATGATGCAGAGCCGGGAGGGGTTGCAAGTGCTTTCAAGGAGAGAATTGTGATTCAAAATCATCCGGACCAACTGGAGAAAGGGTTTGAGGAACATAGAAGGAAATCCAATAAGGGCTAATTGAACGTAACCCACATGAGAAGAAACAATCCATTGCACTCATAAACATGGGAACTGACTGCCTACGAAGGACTGTTGAAAGAGATCTAGCAGTCATTGTGTGCAACAAATTAAATAATAGTGTGACACAGCTGCAAAAAAAAAAAGCCAACATGATTCTGGGATGCAATAACACGAATATTGTGAGGAAGACACAAGACATAATTGTTCCCCATTGCTCTGCTCGACTTAGGCCTTGTCTGGAGTATTGTGTCGAGAGATGGGTCCAAATTTCAGGAAAGATGTGGACAAATTAGAGAAGGTCCAGAGAGGAGCAGCACAAATTACTGAACTTCTAGAAAACAGGACCTATGCATGAAGATGGAAAGAAAAGACTTTGAAGGGACATGGTAACAGTTTTCCAGTAGCATAACGTTTAAATTGCAGCACAGGGGGGTTTAGATTGGATATTAGGAAAAACTTCCTTTCTGCCAGGGTGGCTTACCACTGGAATAAGTTGCGTAAGGTGGTTGTGAAATCTCCATCACTGGAACTTTTAAAGAGTAGGTCTAGATGGTGCTTCCTCCTGCACTGAGTTCAGGGAGAGGACTTCATGACCTCTTGAGGTCCCTTCCTGTTCTCTATTTCTATCCAATGGTCCATCTCCATCATACACCCTGGCTACGTCTACACTGGCATGATTTTCCGGAAATGCTTTTAATGGAAAAGTTTTCCGTTAAAAGTATTTTCGGAAAAAGTGTGTCTATATTGGCAGGATGCTTTTCCGGAAAAGCACTTTTTGCGGATAAGCGTCCGTGCCAATCTAGATGCACTTTTCCGCAAAAAAGCCCCGATCGTCATTTTCACGGTCGGGGCTTTTTTGCGGAAAAGAAATCTCTGCTGTCTACACTGGCCCTTTTCCGGAACAGTTTTCCGGAAAAAGACTTTTGCCCGAACGGGAGCAGCATAGTTTTTCCGGTAAAGCACTGATGATTTTACATTAGATCGTCAGTGCTTTTCCGGAAATTCAAGCGGCCAGTGTACACATCTGGCAAATTATTCCAGAAAAGCGGCTGATTTTCCGGAATAACTGGCCAGTGTAGACACAGCCCTTTAGTTAGTTTGGATTAATTTTCCTGGCTATCTCTAGGAAAACAAATTCTACATGAATTTTGCTTCCCCCTGTGGCAGGAGATTTGTTAGAATGGAATTATGCAGTACCACTGAAACACTGTTAGTCACTCCAGGACTAGAGGGGTGACAGAGACGCAGCCGTGTTAGTCTGCTGTAGCTGAAACAAAAGACAGGACTACGTAGCACTTTAAAGACTAACAAGATGGTTTATTAGGTGATGAGCTTTCGGGAGCCAGACCCCCTTCCTCAGATCAATATGTGGAAAAAAATTGGAACAACCATATATACCAAAGTGACACAATCAAAAAAATGAACGCATGTGAAATTGACAAATCAAATTTTAGAACAGAGTGGGGGTGAGGGAGGAAGATTAGCATCTGTGAGGAAATGACAGAGGGGTGATAATTGGGGAAGCTATCTTTGTAATAGGTGAGATAATAAGTGTCTTTGTTTAAACTCATACATAAAGTGTCAAATTTAAGCATGAATGACAATTCTGAAGCTTCTCGTTGAAGTCTTTAATTCTGGCCTGGGCCACGAAAGCTCATCACCTAAAAAACCATCTTGTTAGTCTTTAAAGTGCTACATAGTCCTGTATTTTGTTTCGGGACTAGAGCGTATCTCCTAGGGTGGGCATGGTGCACAGAGAAAAGGGACTGGGTACTAGAACAAACTCACCCCCTGTGGCAAGAGTTCTGGGAGGTTTAGTGGCCGTCGAGAGCAGAAAGGACCCCCGACTGACTGTCAGTCTCATCATGCCCACGTAGCCCTGGGTTCGTGGAGCAGGGGAGCCCCTCAGCAAGAGCTGGTACCTGCTAGTTCTGAGAGGGACGTGTCTTCCCTGGGAACCCCCTCAGGCAACCGCGTCCCGCGCCTCTCTCAGCCCAGCATCTGCAGTGGCATCCAATGCGGAAAGCGAGAGCAGGGGTGTGCACTGTTTATAGCAGAGCCCTGTACAGTCTCTGGGGTGTTTGCTTGCATGCTTTGGGGGACGTAAACCGGATGGACACAAGCCCATCCATGCTTCTCTGCTACTTATCCAGGTGTAGCCATAAACAGGAATTAAGGAATCCTCCCAAAGGAAGAGGAGAACTCTTGGGCTCTGGGCAGAGTCACTGAGGAATTGTCTGCTCTGGGCATTTCTGTATTTTTAAGAATTATACTGATTAGAAAAAAACCCAATGGATAATGGGTAGATCTCCCGAGGGTCTGTTGTCCTGTAAATGCCCAGAAGGGATACGTAAGTTGTAGACAGACAGATCTGGAGGCATAAGACTGAGTGTTTTCTTTCTTTCTTTCTTTCTTTCTTTCTTTCTTTCTTTCTTTCTTTCTTTCTTTCTTTCTTTCGTTCTTTCGTTCTGCACGTGGGGCTGTTGATGAAGGAGCTCAGACTTGGAATTCTCTTCAATAACCATCATCATTTTACAAAGTAGAGATTTTACCTCCAAAAACAGGAACTCTCTGATCCAGCAACATCTGTCATCCAGCAGAACCACGGATGCTCCTTTAAGCACAGCCCTCGGCTAGCCTAGTGATAGAGATGTAGCCGTGTTAGTCTGGTGTAGCTGAAACGAAATACAGGACAATGTAGCACTTTAAAGACTAACAAGATGGTTTATTAGGTGATGAGCTTTCGTGGGCCAGACCCACTTCCTCAGATCAAATAGTGGAAGAAAATAGTCACAACCATATATACCAAAGGATACAATTAAAAAAAATGAACACATATGAAAAGGACAAATCACATTTCAGAACAGAAGGGGAATGGTGACTTGTCCTTTCCATATGTGTTCATTCCCTTAAATTGCATCCCTTGGTACACATGGCCGCGACCACCCTCCTCCACCCCATTGACAGAGATTCCACAACCACCCTAGGCAATTTATTTCAGTGATTAACCACCTTGATGGTTAGGAAGTTTTTCCTAATGTCCAGCCTAAGCCTCTCTTGCTGCAATTTAAGCCCGTTGCTTCTTGTCCTATGCTCAGCGGTTAAGGAAAATAATTTATCTCCTTCCTCCGGGGGGGGTAAATGTCTGTGAGTTAATGATATTAGAGGTGGGGAAAGGTAAATGTCTGTGAGCTAATGGTATTAGCTCTAATTATCACCTCTAATACCATTAGCTCACAGACATTTACCTTCCTCCCCCCCTGCATCCCCCTTCTGTTCTGAAATGTGATTTGTCCTTTTCATATGTGTTCACTTTTTTTTAATTGTATCCTTTGGTATATATGGTTGTGACAATTTTCTTCTACTATTTGATCTGAGGAAGTGGGTCCAAAGAGTCCTCTCTGCTGCCCTTGTGCCTCTCTCCTGTCCCAGCTTCTGCTGGCTCATCCAGGCTCTGTGGTTTGGAAGGTCTCAACCATCCCCTCCTCTCTCTGGGTATGTCTACACTACAAAGTTGGTTCGAACTAACAGATGTTAGTTCGAACTAACTTTCATAGGCGCTACACTAGCGCTCCGCTAGTTCGAATTTAATTCGAACTAGTGGAGCGCTTAGTTCGAACTAGGAAAACCTCATTCTACGAGGACTCAGCCTAGTTCGAACTTACTAGTTTGAATTAAGGGCTGTGTAGCCCCTTAATTCGAACTAGTGGGAGGCTAGCCCTCCCCAGCTTTCCCTGGTGGCCACTCTGGCCAACACCAGGGAAACTCTATGCCCCCCTCCCGGCCCCGGACCCCTTAAAGGGGCACGGGCTGGCTACGGTGCCTGTGCCAGGTGCAAGCGAGAGTTGTTGTTAACGGTTCTAAATCCTGCTGGAAAGGGATAACAAGTGGAGTTCCTCAAGGGTCTGTTTTGGGACCCGTACTGTTCAATATCTTCATCAATGATGTAGATATTGGGATAGAGAGTACTCTTATTAAGTTTGCAGATGATACCAAACTGGGTGGGGTTGCAACTTCTTTGGAGGATAGGGACATAATTCAAAATGACCTTAGCAAGTTAGAGAAATGGTCAGAGGTAAACAGGATGAGGTTTAATAAAGAGAAATGCAAAGTGCTCCACTTAGGAAGGAACAATCAGTTCCATACATACAAGATGGGAAGCGACTGTCTAGGAAGGAGCATGGCGGAAAGGGATCTAGGGGTCATAGTGGACCACAAGTTGAATATGAGTCAACAGTGTGATGCTGTTGCAAAAAAAGCAAATATGATTCTAGGTTGTATCAACAGGTGTGTTGTAAGCAAAACTCGTGAAGTCATTCTGCCGCTCTACTCTGCACTAGTTAGGCCTCAGCTGGAGTACTGTGTCCAGTTCTGGGCGCCACATTTCAAGAAAGATGTGGAGAAATTGGAAAGGGTGCAGAGAAGAGCGACAAGAATGATTAAAGGTTTAGAGAACATGACCTATGAAGCCAGGCTTCATGAACTGGGCTTGTTTAGTTTGGAAAAAAGAAGATTAAGGGGGGACATGATAGCGGTTTTCAAATATCTAAAAGGGTGTCACAAGGAGGAAGGCGAAAATTTGTTCCTCTTGGTTTCTGAGGACAAGACAAGGAGTAATGGGCTTAAATTGTAGCAGGGGAGGTTTAGATTGGACATTAGGAAAACATTCCTAACTGTCAGGGTGGTCAAATATTGGAATAAATTGCCAAGGGAGGTGGTGGAATCTCCCTCTCTGGAGATATTTAAGAACAGGTTAGATAGACATCTGTCAGGGATGGTGTAGACGGAGCTTGGTCCTGCCTTGAGGGCGGGGGGCTGGACTCGATGACCTCTTGAGGTCCCTTCCAGTCCTATTATTCTATGATTCTATGATTCTATGTGCCCAGTGTGGGCACTCAGAGCACTCCAAGCCAGGACTGCTTTGCAAGAGGGGCACCCCTGAGAACTGTCTGTCCGGGGTGGGGGTCGGGACCCTTTAAGCGCAGCCCTCGGCTAGCCTGAGACAGCATCTCCACGCTCTAAGTCCTCCTCTGATGCCCTGCCGGCACTGCTTCCGGCCATCCTTAAGCCCGGTTCAGGGTCCACTTAATATGGACATGCTAGTTCGAATTAGCAAAACGCTAATTTGAACTAGTTTTTCGTTCTAGAGGCGTTAGTTCGAATTAGCTTAGTTCGAATTAACTAATTTGAACTAAGTTAGTTCGAATTAGCGCTGTAGTGTAGACGTACCTTCTGTTCCCTCCAGTGGGAGGTTCCATCCCTTCCCAACCCACCTCTCTACAGAGACTCTGGAGAAAAGTGATTCGATCTAGAATCCTGCTGGTACATTCCTCTGCTGGGAGACTTTTTGTTCGGGGTCAGAGTCTCCACCTCAGCTTCCTGCCTCTTAATACAAGCGGCTTGTGCAAATGGGGCGTGTCATGGGGCGTGAAAATGCAAAGTGCTCCACTTAGGAAGGAACAATCAGTTCCATACATACAAGATGGGAAGCGACTGTCTAGGAAGGAGCATGGCGGAAAGGGATCTAGGGGTCATAGTGGACCACAAGTTGAATATGAGTCAACAGTGTGATGCTGTTGCAAAAAAAGCAAATATGATGCTAGGTTGTATCAACAGGTGTGTTGTAAGCAAAACTCGTGAAGTCATCCTGCCGCTCTACTCTGCACTAGTTAGGCCTCAGCTAGAGTACTGTGTCCAGTTCTGGGCACCACATTTCAAGAAAGATGTGGAGAAATTGGAAAGGGTACAGAGAAGAGCAACAAGAATAATTAAAGGTTTAGAGAACATGACCTATGAAGCCAGGCTTCATGAACTGGGCTTGTTTAGTATGGAAAAAAGAAGATTAAGGGGGGACATGATAGCGGTTTTCAAATATCTAAAAGGGTGTCACAAGGAGGAAGGAGAAAATTTGTTCCTCTTGGTTTCTGAGGACAGGACAAGGAGTAATGGGCTTAAAGTGCAGCAGGGGAGGTTTAGATTGGACATTAGGAAAAAATTCCTAACTGTCAGGGTGGTCAAATATTGGAATAAATTGCCAAGGGAGGTGGTGGAATCTCCCTCTCTGGAGATATTTAAGAACAGGTTAGATAGACATCTGTCAGGGATGGTGTAGACGGAGCTTGATCCTGCCTTGAGGGCGGGGGGCTGGACTCGATGACCTCTCGAGGTCCCTTCCAGTCCTATTATTCTATGATTCTATGAAAAGATGGCTCAAAGAGACAAGGACACAGAAAGCTCCTTCAAAGAGTGACATCAAGCAGTTGCCACACAACTAGACTTGATCCAGACAGTCTCTTTTTAGCATTTTGTGTCTTGTTGCTAGTGAGGCTTGGCAGGTGCTCCGTGTTGAATTAGAAAATCAGACTGAAAAGGGGATGTTGGCTCTACCTGGTCACATAGGGCAGGAAGGACTTGTCTGGTCATTAACCCTGCTCACCTGGGGCCATCCCACTCGTGCAGCTGGGTCAACTTTCAACTTTGTTTGCCCCAGCCTGGGAGCAGAGGAAGCCCAGCTGTAGCAGGGAAGAGGTGGAGAAGATCCAGTGGGTGATGAGAGGCAAGGGGTATAAAAGACACGGGTAAGGCCTGGGTGAAGTGGAGATATGAGCTGGGGCACAACTGACTAGTTCAGGCAGACGTTTAACAATATGGAAGGCCTAAAGCCGTCCTCTTCAGCCAGACTGAAGAGTAACAGCCATTAGCTGTACAGGCTGGAGTCACATACTCACCTCCCATCTAACCTGCATTAAAATAGTGTCACACCAGGCTATAGAGAAGGAGACCTTGAGCTAATAGCCCCCACTATCACCAGACAAAGAATCCGATCTCAAAATGGGTAGAGAAAACATGGCTTCACAGCTTTCTGTCTGGCCAGAAATTGCTTATCAATACCTGAGGCTGTGGAATCCTCTGATTATTGTCCTCACATTCCTATTGTTTGCCTGTGTGATATCTGTCCGATTTGTATCTCTTTCTGCCTGCTGGATAATTAATTTTGCTAGGGGTAAATCAACTAAAGTGGTGAGGTATCATTGGTTAGGTAAGTCCATTACCGTACATTACGATTGGTTAGTAAAATTACACTAAAATAATTGGTGAAGATCTCACTAAGCAGGACTCAAGTTTCACTATATAAACTGTTGTCCAAGAAGAATATGAGGGGGAAAATCAGAAAGAGGAAAAAGGAAGAAGGAAGGAAAATTGTGCGGCGAGGAGAGAAGTGAGGCAGGACACAGCCCCTGGGGAAATAGGCAGAAAAGAGAAAGGGTGTTGGGGTCCAGTTGCCAGCAATTTGAAAAGTGGCAGCCCTACGCGTTACAGAGTTTGTCACTCTACCATCTGACACCCTGAGACAGCATAGCACGGCCAGGAAAGGATGTAACATGCAAAGGAACTGACTTAGGGAAGCAAGCCCAGCACCAGGGCAGCAGACTGAGTTGCACAGAACCTGGCCTGAGAGTCAGAGCACCAGGAGAAAACGTTACACTATATACGAGTAACAAGCCCGAGCAGCCGGCACCTTATTTGTTTGGTCTTTACCCCATAGATGATGGGGTTGAGCATGGGGGGCAGCAGGAAGCACATGTTGGCAAGGAGAACATGGACATGCTGGGGAAAATTCTGTCCAAAACGGTACATGAGGGAGGAGAAGAGACTTGGGATATAAAAGATTACAATGGTGCAGAGGTGAGAGCCGCAGGTCCCAAAAGTCTTCAGCCGGGCATCCTTTGTGGGGAGGCTGAAGATGGCCCTGAGGATCTGCATGTAGGAGATGGCAATAGAAATGACATCCAGACCCAACACACAGAACAGCACAAAGAGCCCATAGTAACTACTGATGCGGGTGTCGCCGCAGGCCAGTTTCACCACAGCGATGTGCACACAGTACGGCTCAGGGATGATGTTGGTTCTACAATATGGCCACTGCCTTGCCAGTAAGGGATATGGTAATATGAATGTGCCACTGCGCAGCACCACAGCCAGGGCAATCTTGGCCACAAAAGGGTTTGTCAGGATGGTGGAATGTCTCAGGGGATGGCAGATGGCCACGTAACGATCCAAAGCCATGGCTGCCAATATCCCAGACTCAATTGCTGAGAAGCAGTGAATGAAGTACATCTGGGTGAGGCAGGCATCGAAGTCTATCTCCCTGGAATTGAACCAGAAGTTGCTCAGCATTTTGGGCAGGACAGATGTGGCCAAGACCAGGTCGGTGATGGCCAGCATGCAGAGAAAATAGTACATGGGCGAATTGTTGAGAAGCACTGAATGAAGAACATCTGGGTGAGGCAGGCATTGAAATCAATCTCCCTGGAATTGAACCAGAAGATGCTCAGAATTTTTGGCAGAGTGGACGTAGACAGGACCAGGTCACTGATGGCCAACACGCAGAGGAAATAGTACATGGGTTCATGGAGGCTCGGCTCCATCTTTACAATGAGCAGGATGGTGAGATTCCCCACAATGGCTATGACATAGATGCCAGAGAAGGGGATGGAGATCCACACATGAGCCGCCTCCAGGCCGGGAATGCCCAGCAGGATGAAGGTGGAGGGGTTGGTGAAGTTCTCTGTGTTTGATTGTGACATGGAGTTGGAGAGAAGGTGTCTAACCGTGAAATAGAACAGTGTCGCCTACATCTATCGTCGTTTCCACTGACTTGCTTTGTATGCCCAGGCTCTGGGGTGATGGTCACAGTACCAGTATCTGCATGGAGAGACAATATTAACAGGAGTTGCTGTATGTATAATTGGAAACGGTTCTTCCTCATTGCACATTAATTAAATGAAAATAAGGACAGTGATCCCATACTATACGGGGTTCCTCATTCACCTGATTCTTATAATAAGAGAAGGGGGGAAACCACCCAAATCTTTGACAAAACATGTGCCAGGGGAAAACATAAGAACATAAGAATGGCCGTACTGGGTCAGACCAAAGGTCCTCCTAGCCCAGTAGCCTGTCTGCCAACAGTGGCCAACACCGGTGTCCCAGAGAGGGTGGACCAAAGACAACGAAAACCCCAAGTAGAACACACCTCAGGCAAAAGATCTGGAAATACTTGCTCATTCACGTGTGGCTAAACCAAGACATTGTTCAGATACCTATGTGATGTTGTTGGACTGTAATTTGAACACAAAGAGTGTTGTTGAAACAGCTGTTCTATGTTTGGAACAAATCTTGTACAAAGTATGCCAAGTGAATATCTAGAAAAAGCTTATATGCGCTCAGTTTTTGTCATCCAGTTACTCTAATGGAGAGAACAGACTGAAAGGGAATTTCTAAAGCAGGTTCTGAGGGTGGAGGAGGCTGCTACATGACGACGGACTGAAAAGTCTGGAAAGGTTTAGAAAAGAGAAAAGAAAGGGGCGTATGATAGAAGCGAGCAGGTTAGCAGTTTTGAAAGAATAAGTAATTCCCCAAAGCAACCAGCAGAACTAAGTGGGAGGAAAAAATTAGATAGAAAAATAGGAATGAAAATGGAGAGTCTAGACCATCCCTGATAGGTGTCTATCCAACCTGCTCTTAAATATCTCCAGAGATGAAGATTCCACAACCTCTCTAGGCAATTTATTCCAGTGTTTAACCACCTTGACAGTTAGAAATTTTTTCCGAATGTCCAACAACAAGCTAAATATGAGCCAAGAATGTGACGCTGTTGCAAAAAAGCAAACATGCTTCTGTTCTACTCTACTCTTATTAGGCCTTAATTGAAGTATTCCACAACCTCCCAGTTGCATCTGACGAAGTGGGTCTTTGTCCATGAAAGCTTATGCTCCAACACTTCAGTTGGTCTATAAGGAGCCACAGGACTCCTCACTGCTTTTGCACATTTAGACTAACACAGCTACCCCTTTGATAATTGAAGTATTTGTGCAGTTCTGGGCACTGCATTTCAAGAAAGATGCAAAGAAATTGGAGAAGGTCCAGAGAAGAGAAACAAGAATGATTAAAGGTTTAGAAAACATGAGCTATGAGGGAAGATGGAAGAAATTGGGCTTCTTTAGTTTAGAAAGGAGAAAACTGAGAGGGGACGTGATAGCTGTTTTCAACTATCTAAAAGGGTGTCACTAGGATGAGGGAGACAAGTTGTTCTCCTTGGCCTCTACGGATAAGACAAAAACAATGGGCTTAAACTGCAGCAAGAGAGGGTTAGGTAGGACATTAGGAAAAACTTCCTACCTGTCAGGGTGGTTAAACACTGGAATAAACTACCTAGGGAGGTTGTGGAATCTCCATCCCTGGAGATATTTAAAAGCAGATTGGATATACATCTATCAGGGATGGTCCATAGGATACTAGATCCTGCCGGGAGGGCAAAGGAATGGACTCGATGACCTTTCAAGGTCGCTTCCAGTTCTAGTGTTCTATGGTTCTATGATTGTGCCGAGAGATAGGTGCCAAATTTCAGGAAAAAGGTGGAAAAATTGGAGAAAGTCCAGAGAGGATCAGCACAAATTATTGAAGTTCTAGAATAATTGACCTATGGTGAAGATGGAAAGAAAAAACTTAGAGGGAGCATGAGAACAGTCTGGCAGTATCGAACAGGTTACAAGTAGGAGGTTGAAAACATATTCCTCTTAATCTCTGAGGACAGGACAAGAAGCATTGGGTTTAAATTTCAGCAGAGCAGGTTTAGGTTGGACATTAGGAAAAACTTCCTACCTTTCAGGACAATTCAGCGCTGGAATAAGTTGCCTAAAGTAGTTGTGGAAGATAGAAAACATGGCAAAAGACCAGCTTGGCTTAACAAGGAGATCTTGCATGATCTCAAAATTAAAAAGGAGTCATATAAAAAATGGAAACTAGGACAAATAACAAAGGATGAATATAGGCAAGCAACACGGAAATGCAGGGGCAAGATTAGAAAGGCAAAGGCACAAAATGAGATCAAACTAGCTACAGGCATAAAGGGAAACAAGAAGACCTTTTATAAATACATTAAAAGCAAGAGGAAGACCAAGGACAGGGTAGGCCCACTGCTTTGTGAGGAGGGAGAAGGAGTAACAGGAAACTTGGAAATGGCAGAGATGCTCAATGACTTCTTTCTTTCGGTCTTCACCGAGAAGTCTGGAGGTGTGCCTAATGTAGTGAATACAAGCAGAGACAGGGTAAGTTTAGAAGATAGGATACACAAAGAACAAGTTCAAAATCACTTAGGAAAGTTAGATGTCAGCAAGTCACCAGGTCCTGATGAAATGCATCCCAGGATACTCAAGGAGCTGATAGAGGAGGTATCTGAGCCTTTAGCTATGATCTTTGAAAAGTCATGGAAGACAGGGGAGATTCCAGAAGACTGGAAATGGGCAAATATTGTGCCCATCTATAAAAAGGGGAATAAAAACAACCCAGGAAACTATAGACCGGTCAGTTTAACGTCTGTCCCAGGGAAGATAATGGAGCAGGTAATTAAGGAAATCATATGCAAACACTTGGAAGGTAATAAAGTGATAGGGAATAGCCAGCATGGGTTTGTGAAGAACAAGTCATGCCAAACTAATCTGATAGCTTTCTTTGATAAGATAACGAGCCTTGTGGATAAGGGAGAAGCGGTGGATGTCATATACCTAGACTTTAGTAAGGCATTTGATACGGTCTCGCATGATATTCTTATTGATAAACTAGGCAAATATAACTTAGATAGGGCCACGATAAGGTGGGTGCATAATTGACTGGATAACCGTAGTCAGAGAGTTGTTGTTAACGGTTCTAAATCCTGCTGGAAAGGGATAACAAGTGGAGTTCCTCAAGGGTCTGTTTTGGGACCCGTACTGTTCAATATCTTCATCAATGATGTAGATATTGGGATAGAGAGTACGCTTATTAAGTTTGCAGATGATACCAAACTGGGTGGGGTTGCAACTTCTTTGGAGGATAGGGACATAATTCAAAATGACCTTAGCAAGTTAGAGAAATGGTCAGAGGTAAACAGGATGAGGTTTAATAAAGAGAAATGCAAAGTGCTCCACTTAGGAAGGAACAATCAGTTCCATACATACAAGATGGGAAGCGACTGTCTAGGAAGGAGCATGGCGGAAAGGGATCTAGGGGTCATAGTGGACCACAAGTTGAATATGAGTCAACAGTGTGATGCTGTTGCAAAAAAAGCAAATATGATTCTAGGTTGTATCAACAGGTGTGTTGTAAGCAAAACTCGTGAAGTCATTCTGCCGCTCTACTCTGCACTAGTTAGGCCTCAGCTGGAGTACTGTGTCCAGTTCTGGGCACCACATTTCAAGAAAGATGTGGAGAAATTGGAAAGGGTACAGAGAAGAGCAACAAGAATGATTAAAGGTTTAGAGAACATGACCTATGAAGCCAGGCTTCATGAACTGGGCTTGTTTAGTTTGGAAAAAAGAAGATTAAGGGGGGACATGATAGCGGTTTTCAAATATCTAAAAGGGCCTGCCATGAGGGCAGGGGACTGGACTCGATGACCTCTCGAGGTCCCTTCCAGTCCTATTATTCTATGATTCTATGAATCTCCATCACTGGAGCTTTTATAGAGTATGTCTACATGGTGCTTCCTCCTGCACCGAGTTCAGGGAAAGGACTTCATGACCTTTTCATGTCTCTTCCTATTCTCTATTTCTATCCAATGGTCTATCTCCACCATACACTCTATGAATCTACCCACCAATATAATAGACCAGGCATTTCTATTTACCCTATACCATAACACATAAACAAGAGATTCACCTTTCTTAATGGATCCACTGAAACATTGTCAGCCACTCCAGGCCTACACGGCATTCCCTGGAGCGGGCACGATGCACAGAAAAGAGGGACTGGGTCCTGGAGCAAACTCCGCCCTTTGGCAAGAGTTCTGGGATGTTTAGTGAGAATCCATAGCCCTGGCTTGGTGGAACAGGGGAGCTCCTCAACAAGAGATCATAGAATCATAGAATAATAGGACTGGAAGGGACCTCGAGACGTCATCGAGTCCAGCCCCTCGCCCTCAAGGCAGGACCAAGCTCCGTCTACACCATCCCTGACAGATGTCTATCTAACCTGTTCTTTAAATATCTCCAGAGAGGGAGATTCCACCACCTCCCTTGGCAATTTATTCCAATATTTGACCACCCTGACAGTTAGGAATTTTTTCTAATGTCCAATCTAAACCTCCCCTGCTGCACTTTAAGCCCATTACTCCTTGTCCTGTCCTCAGAAACCAAGAGGAACAAATTTTCGCCTTCCTCCTTGTGACACCCTTTTAGATATTTGAAAACCGCTATCATGTCCCCCCTTAATCTTCTTTTTTCCAAACTAAACAAGCCCAGTTCATGAAGCCTGGCTTCATAGGTCATGTTCTCTAAACCTTTAATCATTCTTGTCGCTCTTCTCTGTACCCTTTCCAATTTCTCCACATCTTTCTTGAAATGTGGCGCCCAGAACTGGACACAGTACTCCAGCTGAGGCCTAACTAGTGCAGAGTAGAGCGGCAGAATGACTTCACGAGTTTTGCTTACAACACACCTGTTGATACAACCTAGAATCATATTTGCTTTTTTTGCAACATCATCACACTGTTGACTCATATTCAACTTGTGGTCCACTATGTGGTCCTAGATCCCTGTCTGCCATGCTC